TTTCAGTTTCATTCGTGTACTCTTAGCTTTTCATTAGTTTATGTCTATACTGTTAGTCCAAATGACAACTTGTTTTCATACAGCAAATCAAATCATTTAAAATTCTATTAGCGTAATTCAATCACACATTAAGCAGGCACTCACACTGACTAACAATTACACAGAATCCTGCTCCAACATAGGCTTCCTTCTTGTCTACGTTACAACATGAACCAACGTCTTGTCCTTCTTGTTGAATGAATTAGCCAACACACACACTGTGGAAAAGGTGCACTTCTTACATCTGTTTGCAGGCTAGATAGCTAATTAGCTGCTCAGCTGCAGCACATTAAACAGCATGTAAACGTTCCTGCAGATGTCACTCAGGCACTGTTAGCTTCTTGTTTGGTCCTTACTCTTCAATAGCACTAACAACATGCTGTCAGTCTGTGACAGGTAGGCTTCACTGCATGTCTGTGTACTCTGTTTCTCAATCCCCTGCTGGGAAAAACCAATGGATGTCCAGAGTGTTGGGAAAATACTTCACTTTTTGAAAACACTGCAATATGGCTAGCTTTGATGTGATTTGGAGTAAATGATATGGTCCTTTAAGAGCACAATATGTATTTTATGGGTATTTTAGATCAGATATGACATCAAACCTTAGGCGCGTTCACACCGGAGTACTTTTACCCGTACTTTTCCCGTTTAGTTCCGTTAGTGCCTGGTATTTTGCGTTCCCACCAAAAAGATAACTTAGTTCCGAGAACCTTTACCCCCATTTTTAGTGCCTGCTAGAGAGGTGGGACTAACCTGGGGAGAAAAAAGTAACAATTTCTGATTGGCTGGACGAATTGCAAACCACGCCCCGTAAAACTCTGAAAAGTTTTGTGAGGCCGCCATTGTGTTTGCTGGCATTAGCATTATTAGCATTAGCATTAGCCCCGCGCACCAACAGAGAGAGAATAACTTATGGCAACAAAAAAAAAAGCATGGGAGCGGTGGAGTGATGAGGAGGATGTCGCGCGTTCTGGCCGATTTACCGGAATGCTGGGAGTCCCAGCAGCTTCTACTGAAGCCAGTCCCTAACTCTGGGGACTTCCGTCCGGGGACCCAAAGCAGAAGAAGAATAAGTGACGTCAGCGGCTTTATTTGCGTAATCTTCCCTCAGGGAACTTATTCCAGTGTGAACGCGATATGTTACTTAGTTCCATGGGGGTACTAAGTGCTGTCACTAAGTACGGCAAAGTACTTGGTGAGAAAGCGGCTATTGGATTTGTGACCTTTTTCTTTCCTTCATAGGTTTTAATGTTTCAGTCCGTACACTCCATTAATTGTGCATGTGATTTGTGGATTGTTCAATACTTTTCATTATCTATTTTGAAGTGAGTACCCTTGCAGAGCAGATAAGGAAATGTGAAATGTGTCAAAATTGTCCCTACCGGCTACATGGAAAGTTTGATTCAGGCTTTCCTCTCTTGTTTTGTGAGAATCTCCCTCCTATCTTGACACTGAACGTAAATCAGACATTTGACATCATCCAATATGAACATCGTCACTCTGGCTTTTCAAGGAGAAACTTAAGTTGTCTTACAGTCAATTTGGAATGCCACCAGGACTTGAACCTCAGATCTCATCAGTGATAGAAAATAATGTTATCTCTTCACCCTTGCACTCCTTTCCCTTTATAATTGTATTTAAATATATCTATTTTCCCTTTTACTCTAGTAACAATTCACCACCCATTTTCAATTCCGTCATTATTGCTATGACTACCTCTCACAGGATTCGATCCAGTACTCATCTATGTTTACATGCTTGCTTTTCTATCCTTTATTTCTTTATTTTTCTCCGTCTTATCTACATACTGCACTCCCATAAGAGCAGAGACAGCTTGTTAAAGACATCAGTGCTGAAGTTTGCTATTCTCAGCGGAGATAACGGGGATCAATGTCCGCAGATCGCCTGCACAGCTTTTCCGCAAGTACACTGCATCAAGCCATTAAAACAACACACACATTCAAGGGTGTGAAGTTGCATTGGGAAAGCATCCATAAAACAATCAGTTTCAGTCAGTCTCTCTGTGTTAAGGCTTCTCATTTTGCCGACAGGCTATATTTAAAGGAAAAAGCTAAAATACATCTGTCTGTGTTTGTCTGGTTGTTTTTTCCACATCAAATGATCGAATTGCTTTGAATCCAGTGTATTGTAGGTCTTAGAGTTTGTGTGTATTTATTCTGAGTATAAATTAAAACAATTTGGGATGCATATGATCCATAGAAGATCAGCTAATGCCCTCACACTTCATAGTAACATTTATTCTGTACATACATTTAGATTTGGGCTGCACGCATTTTGAAAAAAACAACTAATTTTGAGTACTTTTGCAAAGACATTCCCAATATGACCAAATGACCATTTCCTACACCTTATTAACATTATCAATAACAAACATACTGAAATGATCACTGTTATCTGTACCATACAAGGATTTTATATTAAGTCT